ACACACACACACACGCACACTCCTGCACAAATGTACCTACTTACAGGTAAAAGAAACTTGCAAGAATATAAATACTCCTAAATAACCTGCAGGACACACACAAATGCACACTTGCAAATAAATCAACTATTCAGGCAGCAGGGGATTTCAATCTTTCATTCATTCAGTCGTCAATCACGCTCATTCAGCAGCCCTCGTTTTTACTTGATATCTGAATTTCAAGATCCAAGTTCTTCTATTTCCTCATCAGACGCTGTGAATGTTTAGCCCTGATCATCCCCAGCTGATCAACATCTTTCAAACAAACGCAAATAAGTTTTGAGTCCCATTAAAGAAGGAACAGGCTACAGATAGACACCACACTGCCCAATATATGAGACAGGCTGTTCTAACGTTGTACCGTAACAGTGGGAAAAAGTAACAGTGTGGGTTGTTTGTGATTACGAACACTACTCACAGCCTCACCTGGTTCCTATTAGCAACAGACTGATTTCTAATATCAACCACATGAAACGATCGCTAACAGTAAGCATGCCTTAGTGCTACACGCACACACACACACACACACACACACACACACATGCAAATGTTTCAAAAACTACCACCCTCATTCAAAGAAGGAGGAGGGACAATGGGTAACGGATCAGCTCTGCCTTTTATGCCTCTTACTGTCAGCGCCGTGCTTAAACCTACATCACACACATACACATATGTTCCCTCAGGCAGAGGCTAACACTGAAACACTGCATTTACTGTAAAATACAACCTCCAGCTCCCTTTGTGCTGCCTGTTGTGCCACACACGACTTTCTCATCTGGTGTTATTGCAGGGGGTTGGACCACTGTAGGCTCAGGCTACACATCCATGCATGCATACAGTAGCCAGTATATGTTTAAGTTTTAAAATGAAATATTAACAGTAGAAATGTCTCCATCTGGACAGGTGTTTAGGTCCATATCTGATGATCTCCATCCGTACATACACTGTGAATAAAACAGCGATGGTGAAAAGTAACTAACCATAACTACACAATACTTGGCATACATTTCCATTTCCATGCATTTTCTTTAGCAGAATCTTCCGATATAATGTTCTTCCTGGAAATAAAGTGGTAATGTGTGATGTCCCGACTGAAGTCAATCCTCCATCTCATAGCAGCAAGGCAAGAACTGCAGTGAGGTAAAGTGAGATGAGAAAACTTTCAGTTGGCAGCCGACCTAATAAACTTTACATGTTCTAATGAGGGAACAGCTGAGAGACTCTGCGGTACAATGAAAATACAACTTACTGAGACACGTGTCTTTCTAAAATTAGGTAACAGCTGCAACTTACAAATTGATTCATTGATCCAGTGTTTGCTCTGATGGAAAATATCATAAAGGTGGAAGTAGGAACCTGTTATTATCTCTGCTGCAGACATTTGTCTGATACAATTGGAGGGAAAACGCCAAGTGACCACAGACAATTATATTTCCCATGACTACAACATTACCCGTTTCTATTATGTGTGCCCTTTGACTAATGCAATTCAAGTGTCTAATGCCTTTGCCCTCTTGTGTCAGCCCACTTCTTAATAACGCCCCCTCCTCAATTCCTCTGCCACGTTTCAGCATCATTTAATGTTTTAAATGTTATATTTCAATGGAGATGGGTTCCTCCGCATGGGATCGCGTGAAATCATCAGTGTGGTGTGACTGAACACTGAATAAAGACTATTTTGCATGCATGTTGATTGTGGCTTCTTGTTGCGATATTCAGACGACTCCAATGGGATAAAGTTTGGCTCAGTAATAAACAAAACAACCGTGACCAAAATCAATTCACTCTGGTCTCCGTGAACAATCACCATGTCAATGAACGACAACACACACACACACAAAGTGAATAAAGCTTTGCAGCAACGCAAACTCACTCACTGAACCAAAATAACCTTCAAATACCAGACCCTGACATGAGCAGGATGAGGTCTCTCCTTGTGCCTTGAAGTACGGGAGGACAAAACTGGGAGATAAAGGGAGAGAAGACAAGCAGGGGATAAAGACAGAGAAGGAATGAGTGTGTCTGTGTGTGTCTTCGCTAATGTGTCCTTTGGAGCATCCCCAGGCCTCTACTCTGTGGCCAGAGCTGCCGCTCGGCCCGGCACTGTGAGCCTACGTGGTTTTAGCCGGGGCCGGCACAGACAGACAGCTGCTATTAAACCCTGATTGTTTCAGGTTCACAGGGTGTGAAAGGGTCTGATTGAGGCGCTGTGATCCCAGTGAGGGTGGTCTTTCTCTCCCCCCCCTGTCTCCCTCCCCCCCTAGCCTCCCTCTTTCTGGAAGGTGGGAGGAGGGTGTTGAGGAGGAGGGGGTGGGGTGGGGGGGTTGCAGGCATCACGTGACGCGTGTTTCTTGCTGAGCAGACCAAAATGGAATCTGGACAAAAACACACCACTTGTTGCTGCCTGCCTCTGGGTACGTGTGTGTCACGTGACCGACGGACGGTGATGCCAGCACAGAAATTAAACACGCAGTCCAGATAATTAAAGCCAGAGATGCCTGTGAGGAGGAGTCCGTGTTCAGATGTTTCCACATTCATGCATTTAACTAACGACTCTCATCAGATTAACAGAAGAGCACCAATTAGACACACAATCCAAATTGTCTCTGTTTCTACCGACCTCAAAGACGATGGAATCCATCACTCCGAATTGAACTGTATTCGGCCTGATAGGGACTTATCACTGCTCTGATATGGCTGTGATAAGGCAGGTCAGTCCTCTCTCGTGACTGGCTATTAAGAGGGACAGTTGCTTCCTGTATGGTCTATTTGTTTAAGAGCATTCCCATTAAGGAGCCTTTTGGCCTTAACACACTTGATAAAGACCAGGGAGGGCGAGGAAGCTCCCCTGCAGAGCTTTTCACGTGTGGCCAGAGGACAAGTGCACGAGCTCACTCAAAACTCTGCCCCACATATATTAACCTTAACCTTTGTTTTTAATTTCAAAAAGCCAAATCTACTCTGCACTACAAAATTAGCTTGATTATATTTCCTGTTTTCCTAAAGCAGAACCAAATGTCTGAGGTGCTTCCAAACTGGTTTCACATCCACACAAAGTCATTGTTGATGCATAAATTACCAAGTTAAGTTCCACAAATAAGCTATAACTAACTTTCACAAAATAACAACACCTCCAACAAAAAAATTCAGATTTCCAATGCATTCAATTTCAAAAAGAAATAATGTGATAGCTTAATCACAATGTAGTCTTTCCCTCTCATGTTTTTTGGAGATCTACTTAAGACCCTTGTAATTACACTCTTTCTATGTGTGTGTGTGTGTGTGTGTGTGTGTGTGTGTGTGTGTGTGTGTGTGTGTCTGTGCAAATACTGTTGAGGAAAGTTGTAGGTCTGTGTGCTTAGCACTTCTCAATGTCACTTTGGAATAAATAAGTGTTTGGCTTCTCCATTGAATCCAGTGTTGACGCTCTTCAGTCCAGGGCCACTACATGAAGCCTGCAGCAGCCTAATCTTTGCACATTAACAGCTACAGTCACCTCTTACTCAGACAATTAGACCCAATAATCTGTCGCAGATTAGAGGGAGATCATGGAAGGAAAGATGGAATGAAAGATTTAAAGCAAAAATAATCAGCCAACACATTTCCATAAGCTCAGAATTTACTCAAACATTTATGGTGCAGTTTGTTGGTTATTTACAGGAGCTTTTCACTCCTGAAGCCTCAACCCCACAGTCCTCAGTGATGCTCTTGTTGTTGTTTTGTGGGTGTCCTGACAGAAACTCACATTTGGAAAAGATATTGGCACCTCAGGCATTCCAGGTTACAAGAAACAGCTGTTCTTGGGGTGGCCTTGCCACCATTATGAGTGCCAGAGGATTTTAAAATGTGCTGGAAGTCAGACCCCCCCCCCCCCCAAAAAAAAGCCTCAAACCTGAAGACATGGAGGAGGAGAGCTGGACAGGCTTGCATTTTATGAGCTGTAAAGTTTGATTAACTTAACCTCCACGTGGACAGAAATAAGTGGATGATTTCCACTTTGGAGGAATCAAATGAGTCCACGAAATCTGAAAGGCTGAAGTTAGTAGAAATGTATGCTAGAGAATGAGTGAATTTTGGAGAGTATAGAGGAAATGAAAAGCCCAATTAGTCAATGCGTAAAAGTTACGCACCATCACCTGAGGAGATGCAGCCAACAGACCCTTTGCTGCACTTTAATAACACGTGAAAGTTTTCTCTGCTCCACAAAGTAAACAAGTAATTCATAGAAATCCGCGCAATGACACACAGCTTCACAAACAGGCTTGAGGCTCGTTATTTATCTGTGATCGGCCGTGATTTCAGAAGCGAACACAAATCATCATCAGAGCTTCTTACCTCAGGTTGACGCGGGGATATTCAGCATTAAACTTTGAGGCTTGGTCCCACAAACACACACAGTCCCAGGCTGGAGGAGCTCAGCGGGTCCCAGGACTGAGAGAGACTGGGTTTCCAGTAAAGCCTCCCCTCTTTCTCCCTCTTTTCTTTCTGGCACACGCACTCGGATGGAGATGAACCGGCTTCTTCCTCGCAGACGCTTTTATCCTGCTTCAGAATCGCTTCTCCATGGTGTTTCCCCTCACATTCACTTCAGGCAGACGGACGGTGACAAAACTGAACCCCATGTTCGGCCGTGGAGTCCCGCAAAGCGCCCTGGAGTTTGGCTGCACAGCCAATGCGGGAATGCGCACCCCCTTCTCCTCCCTCCCTCCTCCTCCCTCCCTTTCTCCACAGTCTGTGGACCACCCCGAAACAGGAAGTTCACTTTTTGTTTTTCTTAAGAAGAAGCTCCATGCTGCTGCAGTTTTCGCCTCAAACCTAACACGCCCCACTTTATCCCCTCAGACTGAAAGATTTCTTACATGTTTCTCTTTGTGCGTAATTGTGAGTACTTTTGTTGCGCCACATATGAAGTTAAGACATTAATGTGTGTATAAAAGACTCGTACATGGCTGTGACTATATATATAAAGCTCGTTGTTATCTAGTCATTGGGATAATGCATCTATAAATGTTTTTGTTTACTTGAATGGTGTAACTTCATAGCAGCCTGTGGGACAGCGTGTGTGGCAGCAGCAGCTCGATGTGTGTGTGTGTGTGTGTGTGTGTGTGTGTGTGTCTGTGTCTGTGTCTGTGTGTCTGTGTGGATGCTGCAGATTCTGCGCCTCGGTCCTCCACAAAACCTGGACCGGATTTCAGGCTCAGGACCGGGACCTGCGCTGTGCAGGAGGGTCCAACACAGTACTGAGTGTTCTTCATTAGGATATCACAGGTCAGAGAATGTGTACAAGTACACACAACAACAGTACTATGTGTTCTTCATTAGGATATCACAGGTCAGAGAACGTGTACAAGTACAGAAAACAAGAGTACCATGTATTCTTCATTAGGATATCACAGGCCAGAGAACGCGTACGAGTACACACAACAGTACTGTGACGATCGATAATTATCACGATCAGAAAAAAGACAACCTCTAACAATGAGAGCCCCCTGTTTCACTGCATATAATTTCTTTGGGGGTATTTTTCTTTTCAATAGCAAATTCATTTTAGAACCAAAGAAAAATCAAAAGGCATTAAACAAAATGTATATGGAAACCAATACTCAGACTATTAACCTTGATCTGAATAAGACATTAATCAGATATACTCGCTAACAGAATATTACATATTCCCGTTTAAATTGATTATCACATGTCAGAATCACTTCCACTACATCATATGTCTGACATTCCCACAACTCTAAAAACCCAAACTGGAAAAGTTTAATGCACGATGCCTCCTTATACACCTTTTAGTGTTTCCTTTCTAATTTTGCCAAAGTGACAGCTGCTCATTATTGTTTGCACACTAACCCGGTGCTTGGAAAAAAGCCTTGATTTGTTTACTTTGCCAACGGTGCAGATCAATAACAGCCGCAGTCTGAAATGGTTTTCCCTCCTGCTGTTTGGTGTTGTATGTGTTTTGTTGGAGCCACAGTTCAAATGATGGCACATGCCCCGCTCTGTTGTTGCCACACTGTAAGTTAATAGATCAGTCAATTATTGCCCTCTTGCATGTTTTTCACTGCCTCAATGACTAATTGCTTGTGGTCGTTGACTTGAAATCAAGTGCTTCCCAAGGTGAGGTAATATACTGTATGGTGTGTTGTGAAATGCCATAACTCATCCCCAGTTTTCAGGCCCGTGTGTAATTTTTTCTCCAGTCTGAGGTTGGTTGTGGTTTGAGACATTAGCAGGCTCCAGTGTTATTACCACTGTCTGTGTTATTCATCACTGATCCTCTGTTTTGTTGTGTTTGCACTAAGCTGGGGATCTTGCTGTTTTAATAACTGCCTATAATATGATTTTTATCAGGAAATCATCACAGTTAAATGTAAAGGTTTCCTAAAGAGATGTGGTTATTACCTGTAAAAGTTCCACAGTTACAGCTTCTGCAGTTTGAAGTGATAAAGCAGTAAAGTAGCCTCACAGAGCAGAGCAAGTGACGACCGAGCATCATTCAGCCAAACAGTGCAGGAGAGTCAGGTAATAAATCTACAGGCATGAAGAAGTTTCAGTTTAAATTAGCCATGAGTCAAAGTCTGAACAGTTGGTGACCTGAACCGAGGCTGGAGTCCATTGAGAACATACGGCCAGTGGTTAAACCAGATTTTGTCAATGAAAGTCGTGGGCTTTAGTCCCAGTATAGCTGCTGCAGGAGTAAAGCAGGGAAGTCCTGGATGTAAATCAGCGCACAGATGCTGGAGCCATATGCTTCATCTGACTGCAGAGAATCCAACACAGGCTTCACTCCAGATTATCAATGGGGAGGGATTACACAGGTAAAGCAGAGTTAAGTATAGACGGATTTACTGGAACGTGTAAGACATTAACTGTTGATTTTTTGCCAAAACGGCAAATTGTTTTTCTATTTTTGGAATTTCCAAAACTGAATTTTGATTTCCTTGTTAGATTTACATGTATGCAATTCACACACTGCACCAGTTTCATCTAAATGTGTAAATATTGTTTTATATTTTCCCTTTTCAATCTTTTTCTATTTTTTCAAATTTGATAAGTATTCGTCCTTTTTCTTTCCTTTACCTTTTTTAACTGTTTTATCTACTTTATACTAGTCTATTGTAATCTTTTACTTTGCTTGTTTTTAACTGTGCTTTCAGATTTTGAAGTGTTTTCTTTTAATGTCTTTGTACACATTGAATTTCCCTCTGTGTATGAAAGATGCTTTACAAATAAAATGACCTTGCCCTACTCATCACCTCTGCATGATCAAAATGATATTTTAGAGTTATTAGATCTGTTAAGTAGACCTACCAGAAAACACTAACAATTGTTTTATTTTAAAGTAATACCATCATATCAAGTACTGTAGTGAGAGGACTTACGGTTCAGCCGACACCATAGACACTATACTGTATGTCTGTCTTTGTAGGTGTTGTCACCAAAATCATAACTATTAAAGTTTGTGACCCTGTCTGAACAATTCTACCAAAATACATCATATACTTCAGTATAATAAAAGACATTTACAGTTGCAATGCTTACATTTCTAAAACCATAAAGAATTGTATTCATCTTCACAAATCACAGGTCCCCTCATGTAGGCCTTAACAAATCTGTACAGGGTGTGACAACCTCTGCAAACCTCAACTGGGATGAGGAAAAACTACCCTACTGAAAAATGTAACAGGAGAAAAAAGAAAACACAGAGAAAGAAAAGGTCACGAAATCCAAAGGTCACTCAAATTTATGAAATGTGCTAACAAAATCAAACTCAACAATCCTTCCTTAAAAAGTTAAAAGTACAACTTAAGTCTTTCTCAATGAGGCATGGTGAGAAAAGGTGAATAGGAGAGAATAAAAGTTACAGATGTCTACCCTAAAGCTCATAGAGGGCTTACAGTGCTAGGCAGATTGCAGACAGGGTCAGGACTGAAGGTAAGTCAGAGCAAAAGCTTTCAGCCAAGCCAAGCAGTTCGAGTGAAGGTGAAAGCTGTAAATGAGATGATGCTCGTCTCTGTTGTCTAATCGAATTATGACAAAACCTTTCACTGAATCATCAGAAACCATCGGGTGATGTTGGTGATTACTGAGAACATATACATTTAATCTCCTATGATTTATATGCATTGATATGATAAGGCACAAACATGTGTAGCTAGAATAGCTACAGAACATGAAGTGTGAGCAGTGCCTCACAGATTGCAATGTCTTTATCTGACAGTCTAAAACTAAAAGTTAAAGAAAGTGTTGCATGGCTGCAGGGTGACGGAGCATCTTGGTTCAGAGTATTTAAGGCCACTGGAGGATACTCAGGAACATGCATGTTAGCCAAATGAGAAGGAGAGAAAGCATCTGTCGCTAAGAGGCTCTCGGGGCAGCTGGACACCATTCCCCCGTGCTGCAAAATCCACAAAATCTTTTACAGGATTTGTTTTTCCATTGCAGATGGTCCTTTGCACATGCACTTTCTCCTCATTGGTCCAGGGTACTACATATATGGGCTCTGCATGGCTTTACCTCAGGCCCTTACACACACTGGGGAGAGTAAGAGGAGAGACTGCAGGGGATAGACAATGCACAAGGCTGAGCACGTCTGCCTGAATGTTGTATATCTTCGGTCACTGCTGGTGCACAGGTAGGAGCTGCACAGGGATTAAATGTGAGTTTATTAAGTAAAAGGATGCACAGTGCATGTGCTGGAACTGCTTTTGCAATGCATGCACACATTTAAATATGTATATTTGCAGGGATGCTTGATATTTGCATATTGTATTTATGACATGTATATGGCAGTAGTTGCGCTAGAGTATGTGCTGCATCATGTTCTATTGTATTTCTGCCATGCAGTAGGATTGTGAATTTTAGAATTGGGCAATAGTTTATTCAATCAACACATTTGTTAGTATCAGTAGAAATCAGGCAGCATAAAATAAATAGTTTAAGGCCAAGCAAAACTGACTAAAGTTAAAGAGGCATGAAAGAAATGAAATGACTGTATTTAATATGCAATTAAAAACATCTGTAGAGCTATGCACCAAAGTGATCAAAAAGACATATGTATTTTTAATGTTTGCTTGGTGGAAATTCTGAGAATGTCAGGAAGTAATCACGAGAATCTAACTGAATAATGGTAATTTATTGAAGATTGCATGGATTTAATTAGCAATAACTTTGATTTCGATCCCTGTATTTAATTTTCCTGACAAAGGGTGAATGTTGAAATAATCAATAAATGTGTTTTATCATATATTAGGCCTGTAGTTTAGAATATATGTCAATACTGTTCATGTAGATAAACACATTTAGATCCTTTGATATATGCTTTAGTTTACGACATGCAGCTTTGTTTTTTGGAATTCCCAAAATAAAACTCACAGCACTCTCACAAATGTCCCTTTACCTTTCATTCAATGTGATAGATCTTTGTTGTAATGAAAACATATTCTGTGTTATCGGCCTTTATTGGTTATCATGTAGATTACATTTTCATCCTGGAAAAAAAACACTGTTTAAACATAACATTTGCCTCCAATAAGGTT